TTTTTACTAGAGACGGGGTTTCACCGTGTTGACCAGGATGGTCTCGATCTCTTGACCTCGTGATCCACCCGCCTCGGCCTCCCAAAGTGCTGGGATTACAGGCTTGAGCCACCGCGCCTGGCCCACAGCCCCTTTTTAACGGAACCACAAGGGGAGGCTGCTGCTGGGCCCAGCCCCGGGGCAGGTGGGTGGGGTGGCCTCTGCCACTTCGCTGGAATTTACTACCTTCACCTGAAATGTTTTTGCTGGTATCATGTGTAGGTGTCGTGGGCTTGTTTTTCTCCCACTGCTGAGTGAGTCATCTTGTTTTCATGTAGAAAATCCTCTGATCCCTGCTGATAGCCAGTGGGCCTGGCCCAGGTCAGGGATCCTTCAGAACTGGGGTCCTGGCTGGTGCGGCCCTGTGCCCTGTGACCCCTGCCGGCCGCGGGTGGGCCCTCCAGGGCCCCAGGCCTCTCACCACCCTGTGCCCTTCTCATATGTACTGTCTTTCTTCGGGAATCTTCCAGAAAGTGCCCACATTCCCAATGCAGCCAGTGGGCATCTTAAGAGCCACTTTGCGTGGGTGGCTTCGGAGCTTGGGTCCAGCTGCTCCTCCCCTGAGCGGAGCCGGCAGGGGCTCCTGGGTGGGACCAGCGCTGGGAGGGTAGAAAGGTGGCCGCTGACCCCATGCCCGCTGACCCGCGCCCGGCTCGCCCGCAGAGCTACATGGACCCCATGAATGAGTACAATGCCCTGAATGAGGCCAAGCAGATGATCGCGGTCGCCGACGAGAACCAGAACCAGCACCTGGAGCCCGAGGAGGTGCTGAAGTACAGTGAGTTCTTCACGGGCAGCAAGCTGGTGGACTACGCGCGCAGCGTGCACGAGGAGTTCTGACGCGGCCGCCCGGCTGCCCTTCGCCCCACCGGGGTGGCCGTCCCGTTGCCGCGTCCATGGCTGTTCCGGACCCCAGCTCCTCCCTCCCGACCCCCGACCTCGGCTGGCCCCGGTGGGTGGAAGAGCATCCGCTCCAGGCTCCTGCCGAGACGCGGCGGGGCGCGGGGCCTCAAAATCGCGCATCTCACTTCTGAGAACCTAATGTTGCTTGAGTCAGTCTGCCGAAGGCGCTGAGGGCATCGTCGCCGCATGTCCGGGCCGGGCCCCCTCGCGGGGCCGCCGCTCCGTGGGAAAGAACACAGCTCCTCCACTTCCTTGAAAACCGAACGATTAATAAAGATAGATGAAACTTGGCTGGAAATGAGTAGCCAGGAAGTGGAGGGAGGGGCGCCTGGTCTTTCCCGGGCCTGGGGTGTCAGAGCCACCCAGGCCCCCCCGCTGCTGCCAAAAAAATGCAAAGATTTGTTGTGACGAGAACCACACTGATTCACTCTAAACGCAGTTGCATTTTTTGGTCGGTTTCATTCTTTGGGTGTGAAACAAAACGCAACAAGAGCTTGGCACGTTTGTGTCACAGCTTTCCCAGCGCTGGGGGCCTGTGCCGGGTCACGGGGGAGGCTGGAGGTCGTGGCGGGTTCCACGTGGTTCTCCTGGCAGGTGGGGGTGGCGGGGGCTCTAGGAGGACGG